TTTCTAACTCCGGCCTGAAGCTCTCTCCACTGCACCACTCAGCTGGGATTAATTAGAATGCTTCCCAATTTATCAGGCATGGAGCAAGGATGTCCATTATCACCACTGTTACTAAATATTATCTCAGAAATGCTAGCTCTAACAAGAAAACAAGGAAAACGAAAGGAATAGGAATAGGCAATGAGGAAAAGAAGCCATCACTCTGCGGGTGAGAGGATGGCATGCTTAGAGAAGGCTGGCAGTTCAACTCAAAAGCTAGATGAATCAACAGCTTTAACAAAGTTGCAGCATATAAAATAAGCACACCTAAATCATCACCATTTCTATATAGTACCGGAAATTCCAGCAGGAAGGGCTGGAAAGAGAAATTCCACTTAAAATAACTGCAGACCCATGTCCTTGTCACTGCGCCAGGTGGAGAGGAGTGCTTGCCATCGAAAGGAGCGGCGGCCCTGAAAAGCAATGAGGTTCAGGGGCCCTTCCTGACCCGCGGAGGGCTGTCCAAACATGGACACCTCTATGGAGAACCAAAATCTTCCAAACTACCAGAACTAGCCCCAAAAATGTCAGCACAAGGATGTTGAAGCCTGGGATAGGGCTCCCCTCCCCAATCCCAGGTGAGCAGACAACTTTAATACAAAGTTCAAATTCAACAGGCTCCAGTCTTAAAGAATTAGTCCTGCATTAGGGGATCAATAGACAATACCTAAACAGATAGATGTCTGTTAGCCTGGAGACCTACAGCAAGTAGCCAGTCACGTGTGTGTGTGTTTTTTCTCTCTCTGGGTTTGAGTGAACTATCATATATCCACCATTTCTGTGCAATTCCAGAATGTAATGATTAATTTCTAGTGGTCGTGTTTTGTTTTGTTTTGTTTTTACACCAGATGAGTTGTAATTAGAAGAAAAGAAAAGACAAGGATGTTGAGTAATCATTTTTTTGGAAAGGTCTGGTAAACAATTGTTAACTGTTATTGCAACAACATGAGAGAAATAATAATGACTGTGTGTCTAGCCCTAAGCTATGACGAGTGAAACTTGCTGTATGAGGTACAATCTCTTGGGACTGTAACTTGACATTGTTCCGAGTTTTAATTCAGGCACTTGTCTGAATGGTCATGGAGTCAGTAATGCACCATTTGGGGGAAATGCCATGAGCTGTCCCAGGTGAGTGTGATCTAAGAATGGCCACAAATGGATGTCTGTTGAGAAAATGGCCTTACAGGGTAATGGCAGGAGCCTCTTGCCTCAGTTTCCCCATTATCTTATTTCCTTTTTGAACAAGGATGTTTCCCACCTGCTTAATTCTGAGCCTGATTATGATACCTGGTGAATAATGTGAAACTGTGTTACATGGTGAGATAATTGTGACTCTTACCTGAAATCAAAGACAACTAAGACTGCTTTATCCTGTTAAACCTATGTTCAGTCCCTCTATATCCTTAGGCTTAGGCCTGGAGGAACAATCTTGATGTTGTCACAGCCACCTTCTTCCTTTCCCAGCAAATCTCTCCAACCACAGCTGGTAAAACTGCGATTTTTGTATTTTTATGTAATGTTTATATATGTATGTAATTATGCAATATATCATGTATGTGCATATACGTAGACACAGAGATGACAGACAGACAGATTCTTGTCACCACGCTGCTCAAGCGCCGCGAACTGCTCTGTAAGGTACCTTACTGCGGAGCCTACTTGGATGCTCTTCCTTTAGCTCTGTTGTCTATAAGGTTAGCTCCGCAAGCTTTGAACTGGTTTTCACCACAGGAGAAAATTATGGGAAGATCACTCTGATTAGGTCTTGTCAGGTTTTACTCAATGTTACGAAGTATCATCCCTAGCAGGCTTCAGCAACATTCCCTAGGGCATCTCCGCAAGTGACCTAGGAGATGGATGATGGCCAAAGAGGAATGAGGGTGCCCTGATAGGTGTTGGGGTGCACCTTGGAGCACTCACTCAGGGAATGGCCCAAGAGGACATGCACAGACACCTGAGAGGCAGACACACAGGAGGCACTCACCAGGCAGCTGAAGGAACAGATCATGGACATTGCCAAAACACTCAGCTCCCCTAAAGCTACAGCAGTATTCGATTTCTTTATTCACTCTAATGTAGTTTTGCTTGGTATACTAGTTCTGTGTGTGTCACGGACCTGATACCTATTCTGTAAGCTAGGTATTAGTTCAGCTTGAATTGATACTGCCTTGGGAATTGTTTAAAAAAAAAAAAACAACAAACCTAACACTGTGAGACTAGTTACTAAGTGTGGAATTGGCATAAGTTTTGTGTATGACTGTAACAGAATGCTGCAATAAGGGCAAATAATTGGTGCTGACCCACAAACTAGCAAAACAGGAAAAGGAGGCAATAGAGTTGCTGATAAACTGCAGGATTATTTGTACGTGACCATTCTCTAAAAGAGAATGTCTTCAGGAAAAGAAAAAAGACTTGCATCAATATTATGTCAACTAGGGAGTGGTGTCTTATAAAGTTATTCTTTATAGTGGTAGCTGCCAAATCTTGCATGATCCTTACTGTGGCTTTTTGGTATTTGAATTTTTTTTTTGACTGCTTTCAGCATTTTCTCTTTGACCTGCCAATTCTGGGAGGCTGTAATATTCCTGGGAGTTTTCATTTTGGGATCTCTTTCAGGGGGTAATTGGTGGATTTTTTCAATTTCTATTTTGTCCTCTGATTCTTTGATATCTGGGCAGTTTTCCTTTACAATTTCTTGAAAAAATGATGTCTTGGCTTTTTTTTTTTTAAATTATGGCTTTTAGCCAGTCCAATAATTCTAAAATGATCTCTCCTCAATCTATGTTCCAGCTTGTTTTTCCTAAGCTATTTCACATTTTCTTCTAGATTTTCAGGTTTTTTCTACTTTAGTTTTTTTCTCAATGTCTATTTTATTCAGTGAGGTTTTGTGCCTCTTTTAAGCCAATTTTGATTTTTAAGTAGTTATTTTCTTCAGTATATACTTGTGTCTGCCTTACCAAGCTTTTAATTCTCTTTTCATAATGTATAGTCCTCATTTTTTACCCCAATTTTTCCTCTACTGCTCTTATTTGATTTTTAAAATCTTTTGAAAAGGGTTTTTAGCTCTTCTAGGAATTCTTGTTTGGCTTGTATCCAATCTGCATTTTTCTTTGAGGTTTTCCTCGTAGATGTTTTCAAGTTATCTACTTCTGAGTTTGTGTCTGGAGCTTCCCTGTCCCTATAGCAGTTTTTATGGTCAGGTTCTTTTTTTTGTTGTTTGTGCATTTTTCCAGCCCTTTCTTGACTTTGGAATTCATGTCGACGTTGGGCTCTGCTCACCAGTGAGAGTAGGGATATCTGGTCTGGTCTTCCGATTTTCATCTTTCTGCTTTCTGGGGGACCTGTAGGTTTTTGAAGGCGGTGTGATTTGGGGAGAGTTCTGGTCATTGCCACCTTGGTGTACACTTTGGTCCTGACCTATGTAGGGCTCCCGATCCCTGGTGACCGCACCTCTCTGCCCTCAAACTGCCGCTGGAACTGGTTAATAGGCAATAGAGTTGCCAAATGGTGCCTGATCTCGTGCTCTGTGCTAGCAGAAGGGGCCCCTGGCATCTTTTTCAAGGCCCTTACTGTCCCTGGCTACTGAGCACTCCCAGGGTCTGGTGGTGATGCTGCCACCAGGCGGCCAGTGCTATTTCCACCTGACCACACTCCAGGGACCTCCTGCCCCTGATCCTGCAGATCTCACCAAGCGGCCCCAGACCGGAAAGATTATTCACTGGGACTTTTTAGTGTTCACTCCACTCAGAATTTGGTGTGATGTGCTTTTCAAAGTTGTTTAGAGGGGCACGTAGGGAAAGCGGGGCCAAAGTGACCTCTTCACTGTGACATCTTGGCCCCAGCCCTCCTTAGGCTTTCAAAACTGTTTTCTTCCCAATGCTGCTGTTGTATAAATTGTTCTCCCGGGTCTGCGCCCTCCACTCACGTCTTCCCAGGTTTCCTGGACATCATGCTTTCGTCCTTTCTTAACGCGCAGTAACATTCCGTGTCCTTTGAGCCATTCCCCAGCCACGGGCATCCCTTCGATCTCTAGCTCTTTGCCAGCCCAGAAAAAA